AAGAAGTTGGACCTAACACTGTAACGTTGTACTTGAAAGGGTGAACTTATTACTCCGTTTCTACCTTATAATAAAAATTTTCATTTCCAGTTACCGATTTATAATTAATAATTTATAGTAATGAAATTGTCATGGGAAAAAATTGTATACCTATTTATGAATTTATCGCTATTTTATTTGCAGCGATACTTATGAAAAATGTGGAATATATTACATTCAAAATAGGACTAACTTAGTTCACTGAAAGACAAGGCAATTTTATAATCGTTCGCTATGAAAGTTAAACTAAGTAAGTAAAACTAAGAAAGTTAATTTCATAATTATTTCACTTTCATAGTTCCTAATTTTATATGAAGAACATCAAAAGTGAAGAAATTAAAATTTGCATTTTCAGCACCTACTTTGGACAAATATACTGCACAATATTTTTACTCATAATTCCAACTGGAATAATAATGTATAATTCGCTAAAAATCTGTACAACCATAAAACTGTCCACATAATACTAAACTATTTGTCTGCAATACTTTGTACGCACAATTAACATAAAGCTGTTAAGATTCAAGGAGCAGTTGTCTAAAAAAACAGTTTTCATAAATTATGTTACTCTAGGTGCATATCAATGTGCATTCCAGTCACTATCTATTATGTAGAATGATTTATACAACAGTCGTCAGAGTTTCAGCGTTCCTCAGCAACGCAGACATCAGCAATATAAATGGTAAACCAGCGCTGCTCCTTGGTGTGCTATTTTGAAAGAAACATCGACAATAATTGCACACGAGATAAGATACAAGTTGTACAAAGTGAAATATTATTAGATCGATGACAAGGATTTTTCCGAGGTGTCAGTTTTCCTTTTATCGCGACTCGAACCGGCGTGACTTAAGTTTGTTGGTGATTACGGAACGACAAGGCTTTAATTTAATCCCCGGCAGTTCTTTTAGGGTCGTAAACGAAACCGGTTGCATCCCAGCTGGAATATACATAGAAAACTTTAACTGCTAGAACTGTACACGTTCCCGCGGACATTTTTCTTTTCGCGAGTGGCAACCGTGAGAAATCGCTTCCAGTTCGCGTAGAGCGAAACGTCACTAAAACTAAAACTAGAGTTGATCGTCCTTAGAAGGACTCAGAGTACCTCAGCTTTACAGCTTGCACCTCTTTCAGACCGGGTTTCTACTTTCCATCGAAACCGATGGAATAAGCGAGGACACCCGACCGTGCTTGAACCCCAAACTTGGCGGTAAGGATTTTTGCTGTTGGACTTTTTCAATTTCTAGACGTTAAGTAAGGATGGAACTAACGTTTGTGTGAAATTTCAGCCCGAAGAGCCGAACGTCAGAAAATTCAAACGATCCTTCTGAATAGTACCGCTTCAATTTCCACAGAATTGACAATACAACCTTTGATAACAGCTTTACCTGGCGCCGCGATGCAACAAGAACATCCTACTTGGCAGTTGCAAACCGATTTAGTCGCGCCACGTTCACACGGCGCACGTTTCGCATGGAAATCAGTAAACAGTGCTCGAATTATTTTCACCTGAACTAAATACGTACGAGAAAGTACCAATTCGTTCCTATCGTGGCAATCTATTCGACCACCTTCTTGTCTAGTCTCAATGGTATCTTGCTTTCTGCGCCTCGTGTTTCTACTCGACGAGGAGGGTAATGGTAAAGGTAACGAGGATCTGAAATCTCGAAAGAACCACAGCGGTGACAGAACGACGTTTACTCGGGGCAATTTTCATTGGCAAAGACCAATCTGCACAATTTCTACGATGCGCACTCTTGAATGAATATCAACTTCGTAATCAATTAACGACAGCCTCGTGATAAATAAACTGATATCGTGCTTAATAGATAGTTATTATTTAAACGACAGGGCAGCATTTATACGGAACCGGTTCCCCGGTAAGAAGATTCCTTATCGTTGCTTTCAAACCAGGTGAACGTTTCTCATTAGGACGATGCCCACCGCTTCGTAGGTAATGCGCTTTTTCTCCCCCGAAAAATAACATTAAAAGTTAATACGAACGACCCATTAAACCAGAATTCTAACTATGTCAATAGGCGAGATTACGCATGCATGCACATCCGGCAATATAGCGTCTAGTAGCTAGTCACTTACGCCCATCTTTGACACAAGCGGAAAAGGGGACGTCGATCGATGATGATACGTTGCTCGTGCTGACCGGTACGAGCAATGTAAAATGGAAAGTGACGCAACTTTTTAAATACGAATCCTGTCTCTTTAAATCTATCAGGTGTGCAAGAAATACCACGTAGCTTAAACCATTTTCTAATAATATGAACTTCCAATAAATGATTCCGCCGCATGTTCCAGCAATGAGTCACAGGGAATTTCGTCAAATTTGTCATTTTGCAAGAGTTTAGAGAAACGATAGGTTTTCCACCACTGATACGAAATTAAGTTCAACAATATCCCTGGGTTTCGTGTCATTTCGTACGTTTGGACTCGTGGAAAAGAAGATGGTAATGAAGGTTGACCCTTCAACGAGGTTGACCCCTCAAATTTCACCCCATTTTCTTTATTTTCGCATGAATGAAGTAAATAAAAAAGTAGTTAAAAAAAAGTCGGTGGTTCCACGATTTTATCATGTGATTTTCAAACATGTTTTGAATAATATTTTCATAGACAACAGTTGATATTCCGCAACCCACTTGACTATTTATTCTTAACATTTAGAAGTATGCTTTTATTTCCAATTTGGTCCTGTGTCTTGGTAAAAGTGTCTGTCTTTATGTACTTACCAATGGGAAAATTAGAAAGATCTCCATTTTACACGGCCCTCTTTTACATATTACTTTTCACCTTTGAAAATTGTCGATTTCACGTAACACTCAAACGTGATTTTCTAGTCGAAATTCGAAGCGTGGCGTGAAAAATGTGACAAGATAGCGTGCAGCCGTACAATCCATAAAAGCTAAAAAATGAACGTATTGTTATTGAAATGTTCCAGGATACCGGACACGCTGTAAGCTTCTACGGCAATGGAAAGAGCTTATTTAAGACGAACACGCGAACCCCTAACGTTGCGTGGTGGTCCTGATCTTTCGTTTGGGATATAATAGCATTGCCCCCGGGCTCATTCGTTGCAATAAAACAGCATTCAGGTTGAAAACTACCTTGCTCTTCGAATCGTACTGCATTCCTATGTAATTACGTCGGTAGAAACCAAAGAATGCAAATGTACGAACAATAGCTCCTTGATTTTTATGCCCTGCTTGAAAAGCAAATCGCTCTGTAAAGAGAATCGTCGAATGTATCAACGTTCAAGTAAATTAGTACCTTTTGGTACACGGAACATATTTTCACTGAAAGTTGAAATTTGAAATTTGTTCAACCATAGTTGCATCCACACAGCAAATCTAGTTATGCGATGGTATCATCTCTATAGAGATGGTGTCAGTAGAATAGAAGTTTGGAGTTCTATTATACATCGAAATACGAAGCCACGTTCTAATCTTTCGTGCAAGGATATTTGCAACTGAGTTATGCTGTGCTCGACGTTACGGAATTTATATTTCATATCGAATTTATTACGATACCTAATTCTCTCAATAATGCAGCTAGGAAGGTATAATACAAATACAATATTGAAATGACACCGGATAACAACAGATCTGTCATACACAGATATCAAATACAGATTTATCAATGTCAACCATTTTTTTTTTTGTAACAAGTCTCGTTTAATCGATACGGTCAAAAGTAATCAGAAGTTTGACAAAATACCTCGAACGATTTAACACGTTTGTGAAATAACGAGAACGAGAAGAAAAGTTGATTGTGCGTAATTTTCATAACGGATCCCTTAAGTGAAACAGCTATTCTCGAATTTGTAGCACAAAAGAGATGCTGTACTAATACCGCAAGAAATTTATTCAACGAGATAATGTTGGGAGTGAAAAAAAGCAATACAGCTAACGGTAGCTACGAGTCTGTAAGGTTGTTAAAGTAAACCTTAATACCTTCAGTCCGACTTGTGCCAGTAAGAACATTCAGTATTTAACGCTGACCCTGCTTCACGCCATTGGCTACTTCGTCATTCTTTTTGTCATATTCCTAGGACGACCTGTTAAGCGATTATTATCGAACAGACTGTATGAATACGACGCTAGTAGAGATTGAAGAATATTTTAAGATTATGATTCATCGAACGTTTATGAAGTTCGCAAAAGCGAGTTGCGTCAAGCGAATCTACGATTACAATTTATCAATCTTTATCACCCGTCGATCAATTCTGACCTTCGATTCGTAAGATTTACGCACTGTCGGTCCTTGAATCGGACTCACTTGAACGATCAGGAAGAAGATTCAAGGTCGAAGATCTCTCGCAGTCTCGCGGGGTACGATTACCTGTGCGAAGAGGACAAATCTGTCCTTAACGGCAGCGCGTTTCACGAGCAACACTGAATATCCCTTTCATTCTATTTCAACTAATGATCCAGATTCTCACTTTGGATTACTTCGCGAACGAAATACTCGCCGCTGCTCGAAATTTAACGGAAGACATTTAAAATCGTAGTCGTCATACTTTCGACAGATTTGTTCTTCTTCCAAACTATGTAGAATATCACAACGACGTTCGAAATTTTTCCACGCGATATGAAATCAGGTTCGATATTCAAGAGCGGCGTAACATTTTCATAAAACAAACAGCCGTTCGGCTTGACCTCTTCTTCGACGAAACAGCATGTTCGTAACAGGATGGAAGGTAACGCGGCTAAATCTCAAAGCCCGGTTCTCTGCCGGTGGATTCCCACAGACAGGAGTGACAGGGTATCCTGATAGGTATCGTTGTATCATCGTGATTGCCGAAAGTAAAGAAAGATTTGACTTTTTGCTCCGATATTAACGGAACAGCGTTAACTCCAGCGGGGCCTCACCGTGGCAGAGACCGAAAGGGGACGGAGGGGATTGCAACATATAAAGGAGAGAGCATCGTGCTCCAGGGGCTCAGTACCGTTCAAAGATGCAGGCTGCTGAGATGATGCGTAGTACCAGGACCGTCTGCAGTCTTGCGTTTCTAATATTTCTCTCGAGTCCTTATGTCCGTGAGTAAATGGAATTTTTGAAAATTCCCGCAAGAGCATGTATCCAAATCTACATGGTGGTTATTGAATAGTTACAGCGACAAGTGTTTACGGAATGACAGCTGTGTAAATGACATTTATTTTAAGTTGTTTGTGAAACATTTGTGATTTAGTAGCGATTGTTCAATTATTTCACGGAAAACGTCGATACGATGGGGAAACAAGTGTATAAACGGAGTTAGCTAATGACGGAGAGAAAAGTGTCGAATACTCGTTAAAATATTACTTTCTTTGGGTGATAAAGTGTAAACTGATTGATCGAATCTTAGATCTTTTTTTCTTAACAAATTATTTGTTCACTAGTTTAACTGAAAGTTTATACACACACACACACACACACAAAAATATAACAACAGTTCATATATTATTTATCCATGTTTTATGTATACTCCTCGAACGTCCCATTAAACGCTAATCATAAAACGATTTGCAATAATGGGAAATAACGAAGGGCTGTAAGATGTGTACACTTTTATAAGAGAAACTTAATATGCACGTTGTTATCATATTGCAGTCTTAAATCGACATCCTTTAATTCAACTTTTAATTTCATGAACTTGTTAACTTCTCTTAGATTCGTTTCCACTACAAATATTACCTAGCATCCCAGGCTATATTCCGGTTTATATAAGGCACGGTGATCAACCATTGGAGGAAATAAATCCTGCATTAGCGGAGGCATTTCACGAAGGATCGAGTTTATCCGAGGTAACCTAATTCACTTTAATTCGTTACATGAACTTTTAGAAATATTCGGATCACTTTTCAAGTAGATTCTCGGTACATTTGTTGTGCATCTTGAGAAAGGACAAGTTATTCGTACCTTCGAAATTTCAAAATCTATCCCTTTGTACACCATTGTAGAACAGCAATCCTGTGGAAGACGAAGCAAATAAATACAATGTCTCTCCTGTACACGTTAAAGAAGCGAGTAATCCTTTCACAGTTGATAGTGAGGAGAGTAGAAAAGCAATAGAGGAGGCTGTGGAGACAAAGGCATCGGAATCTGCCACAAACATCGAGCAAAAAAGTCGTCGAGAAAAGCATAGGCGGAAATTTAACCGAAAACCCGCGGTTTCGAAAGTATGAATCCCATTTACTTTAATTTTTTTTTCTTTTTTTTTTCATGCGTCTGTTGGCCACAGACTACATCGACGTTTCTATGAACTGAAACGGGTGTTGTTTGATTTTATTTAAACACGCGCGATTAACGAAGAACGATAAGACAGTACGTATTTAGGTGTTTCATCGCCAGTTTCAATATATACCGTGTTCATTGCCTCTATATCATATATTTTCGTCTGACACCTGTGTAAACGGTCAATCTGAGGGAGAAATCGATGACTCGTTAAATTGCTTGTTCCTCCAAATTATCGTATCATAATCTATTAATAGCGATAAATTAATACCTTCGATGATCATTTTACATAGGCCTGAGGTAATCGGGCACTTATGTGGCATGTAAAATAAAATAGAAAAAGTTCATTCGCTTAACCCCTGTAACATAAACGAGGTACACGCATATGTGCATGCACTGATAGAAGTTACCATTCTTATATATAGTGGGATCCGGTTATTGTGATCACGGATAATGTTATCATAACCAGTTGATCTCGAAACACTCTGTATAAAATTAGTAAAAACTAATCCGTCTATTATAGTCAAACTTTGGCTATCGGTGTCAATTTTCAGCGAATGCGTTATTAAACCGGCCTTCTTACTAAAACTTTCTTTCAACCGAAGCATCTTTTGCATGAGTGCATGGCAAAAATTCATAGATTATACGTAAATAAATCTTGTCCTGAAGCGTGCCCTTTATCTTTTCAAACCGTATTGTTGCAGTGACTGAGGATAAAATATGTAACGTTGTACTAAGCGTACAGTTTGTGATAAATATAAATTGTACAAATGTCGTAATTGTTTGTAATAATTTGAGTTCAACGAACATTTTTCATTCTCTGTTTGGTGTTATCATTTTTATCAAAAACTGCAAGTCCCAGAGTGTGATCACAATAAGCGGATTCCACTGTGATATTAAAATACTAAAATACATTAAACGAATAAAAAATATTTTCTGCATACTGATGCATACTGAGATCTGTAAGTATTGGAACATCTATTGTGTTTGCACAAAGAGTGATAACTGAGAAAATGGCAATTTTGCAGGAGAAGCAGTTCAAAATTTGCATTTGACTAATAGTCGAACGCTGATCGTACATTCTGATCTGCTCTCTGGAAACTAATTGGAAGTAAATGGAACTAATCAAGTTAGAAATGTACCGTTCCAGATGATAACTGTGTCTGTAGAATCTACCTGTGCAAAAAAAAATCCAAATTTACATTTTTTGAGTTATGCCGCATGAGTTTTGAGTTATCAACGCCAATCAGCGATAATTGATCTAAGTTGTACACGTTTCACCGACTTTATTACCTCGTGTTAACGAAGATACGTGTACTCTATATAAAGCATCATTTCAAACCGAATAATAATTTTGCCTATTATTGTAGTACCTGTTCTTCAGGCTTACCTCATGTTTAATAGATGTTCCTATACTCGTGAACGGGCGCGTATGAGTTAATTACGATGCATTAAAACTCGTTGAAGAAAATAATCGAAGATCACGACTTGTAATTGCTGCAAACATCGTCAAGCTAATTTAACTACGCTAAATTGCGTACAAATGTCGTTCAAACGTCGCATCTTCAGTTGACAAGGAAACGTAGTAAATGAAATGGTTGAAACAGTTTCGAATATGAAAATTAGATTTGTGCTGCACTAAAAATGCAGACTAAACGTTGAAACATTTTGGCTTACAACTGTGTACTTTTAACATAACGTGCGTGTTATCACTGGCATTTAGAAACGAATTAGAAATTGGAATTGAATACGAACGGATACCAACTTGTTGTTCATCTTCGTAATTTTGAACGATATGAAAAATACCAAAGAAAATACGACTTGTTTATAAGTACATGTGTAATTTCGCGAACGTTTATTTATGATACATGCATGTTGATCGTCGCAACTACACATACATTTTAACAATTTTGTTCCAAATGTTGAAGTATATACCTGCACTATCGACCGAATCGATTGTTCGCTTTGAATGTACGATTAAAACGATGATTTTATTTTTAAGGTCCATCTATCACCCGAGGAAGAGAAAGAAATGCGTGAAAAATTACGAACCGCTGTCGAAAGTGAAAGAAAAATTTCGAAAAATACGCAAGATGCGTACATGCATCTCTACGAATCGTCGCCGCATAAATCAGATTACAAGCGTTACGTACGGTATCCTATTCCAGTTTCATTAAATCATCACCAACGAATTATCACCAATGATCTTCGTTCGTCTCCACTTACAAGCGAAGAATTACCTATTAAGGAACAACTTCTGCCCGATATCCTGCCTAATGTTCAAAACATATTCCTTCCAATGAAAATACCGGCAAAACCAGAGAAAGAACAGACAGAGAATCAATCCTTGGAAATGAAATAAAAATAAAAGAAACGTACAATTTATAGTGAGACTTATTTATAGCAATATGAATACCGTAGAATTTTGTGATACAAGTTACGTTTAAGGGGATTTCATACTCGGTCGATTATTGTCAAACGTTACAAATTCAGACACGTTACTGTGCATTGTTGCTCTACAAAAATTGGCGCGATGCGCTTTATGTTGAAATAAAGAAATTTCGAAGATAAGACGCAAAATGAAACGGAACTGTGAGCTTTATTCGAATTACATTTATATTTACATCCGATGTTACAACGAGAGTATATTGCAATTAAACGAAACGGTTGAAGATTTTCTAATTACGTTGTAGAACTAGTTTATTTCGTTTCTGCTATTACAAAGGCTGATGTAGTTACAATTATCATGTTTATATACATTGTTTACCGAGCGAAAGATACCGGATTCGAGGACGTCACCGAGTATTTGAACTTTCTACAGAATACGATTCGTTCGTTTGATAATTTCTTATCGATTCTCTTCCGCTTCGTTCACTTCCTGTTCGTTAGAAATATTTTTATACACTTCTATCCTATAATCGTTATTAGCGAGGTTCAGAATAAGCAGCGCTCGTACCACGTTAAATTCATTGCTTCTGGACATTTTTCGTGTAAACATTATATTTTTAACGGTGTCTTTGTCGATTTTTACGTCCAAATGTAATCGTCGGTCTTGAAGAAACCTTTCACTTGATAAAATGAACGTGTTATTTCCAAATTTACAACCGAGAGCTGGTAGGTTCTGCTTGACCTCTGGTATGTAAACATCTCGAATTGCTCGACAATGGACATTTGACGATTTCGTCTGTTCCGTTGAAAAATTCTTGAAATTTTCATTTCCTAAGCTTTTCTGTTCTTTCGTTTCTTCGCCAATTTTTGTACGTTCGGGGCCTCTCGACGTGCCGTCAGAAACATTCGATATTAAAGTGCGATCTGTCGAAGCTTGTCCTAAAGTGGCCACTTGAACTTTAGCAATTTTTGACAAAGAAAAAATTAAACATAACTCCTTATTTTCATACGGGCACAGTTGCTTGCTTTCGGTTAACAATTGCAGATCTTTTCCGTTACATTTTCCAGTACAAGTATTATGATTCGTCACTTTCTCGTTTGAACGTTCAACTTTCGTCGTCTTAGAATGCAAGTTTTCATTCGCAACTTGGCCTTGAGTCCTCGAACCACCGTTTGTAATATCAAACTGAAACTTTTCGTTTTCAATTGCCTTGCCATCACTGCGTAAAAAATAGTTTATCAATATTATAATGAGAAACAACGAGACGCGCGACATTTTTACCGAGAACGAAGAGTTTTCTACTGTTATTTTTCGGTCCCGTGCCTTAGAGCGTCCAGTAACAGCCCTCGACGTTACAGATACTGACTGGAATAGAAAAAACAATGTAAGCGTACAAGTAAGCAAGGTGCATGGCTGGAGATTGGGTCGCTGTGTTCCATTATGTTCATTTTGTGTGCACTGACCTTATCTCCCGTTCGAACATTGTCCGAATACCGCAGAATTTTGACTTATCTTTCGTAGAATTTTACTCTGGCTTCGACTCTGGATTGTCAGAAACGTTTCATAATTTATTCTTAATACATGCTTTATCTGCGTTTATTTGGAACGTGGGAAACATTGCATAAAATAATATTCGTATCAATTTAAAGCACGAGTAAAAATGAAATAAATTAGTAACAGTATATTATGGACGTAGGAAAATAGAAAGTAGATTTGGAATCGAATTTATTCCTAAGAATATGTTTCAGTAAATGAAATCTTAATGAAAATGATTAATATCGTATTCGTTTACTTATTTAAAAAATCACTATTTATAATGTAAAAAGTCTAACACTTTTAAAATAAAAAAAACTTTATTCGTGTTTCATATTTTGTATTTATAGTTAGAAGTAGATCTTATATAATCGGTTCATACTATAATAATAGTATATTCGTATAGTATAGAATAATAGAAACTTTGAATATTATTTGGAAATCCAGATATTTAAAATATACAACATTATGGGCTTTGAAGTGTATATGTATAGTAATATGCTATGAAAAACGTAATGTAAACAATAATAAATGAACAGTGTTCAAAATAAATTGTTTAAAATATGCATTTATTTTAAATACGATTATACTATGTATATAAATATGACTGTATGTGCTATAAAGTGCAATGGGATTTTTAGTATTGAACACAGGAAACTACTGCCCTCGTGCTGACACACAATTTTTGTAATATAAAAATAGAAGCCAATATGATTGCTGACATTATGTGCGCGGTATACATGCGCAATGTGATGTCAACAATTTGTAATGTAAGATGGAAGACGTGCCTTTTACGTTGTACATGTATAGAGGAAATGTGCATATTTTACTATTATTTATATGTTGATGGCGTGATGCAGTAATTTCACATTTATTGTCAAGTAAGGAACGAAGTTACATTAAAACAGTACCGGTCCATTTCGAAAATTAATACAATTTATTCTTATTGTAATTATTACTTTTTGCTTTACTTGCTAATAAACACAAGTATATTGTACTTCTCTTAACAAAATCATCGAGAGTTATAAAAATTTGTACAATCGAAGTAAAATATTAGAATAGTACCTAACCTCAAAATTTTCTATCTGATTCGTCCTATCAAACATCTGCAACTCCAAAGCTGTGACAAAATTGAAATAATATGGCTGGCCAACAACATCCATTTCCATCTGGGTTTCCCAGTGTTCAGCAATCTGCAATGAGAACGCAATTTGGTGGAGGACAAATGGTATCTGGTTTAATGGTGCCACAACAAGGTGGTAAGCATTCTCATCGTAAAAGGTAACATTAAAAAAATAAAATAATATTGAAATATAAAATTTTGATAGGTATGGTAAGTCCACAACAATTTGGAGTTGGTGTAGGAGTTGGAGTGGGTGTTGGTGGTGTAGGTTCCAATGCTATGGGTATGCCTAGTGCTCAGCAAGTACTTGCACAACAACAGCAACAACAACAACAATCTGTTGCAATGCAACAACAAGTTCAACAAATGCAGCAACAACAACTACAATTACAACAACAACAGCAAGCTGCAATGGTACAACAAAATAATCAGACAAGTAATCAAGCTACGACACCGCAAACTCCTGTACCACCTTCACAACCCCCACCTCAACAACAACAACAACAAAATAAGGAATTTAACACTGCCAGTTTATGCAGGTTTGGTCAGGAGACTGTGCAAGATATTGTTAGCCGGACCCTGGAAGTCTTCCAAACATTAAGAGTTCTTCAGCCTCCAAATGGTATATCAAAGTTTAATTATTAAATTGTTTTTAATATGTGTTCTACTGTAGAATTTAATATTATGATTTTAGGTATGCCACAAGGAGCAAGTTTAGCAAATGAAAAAAAGAATAAAGTACAAGAGCAACTAAGAACATTAAAATTATTATTTAAACGTTTGAGACTGATTTATGAAAAATGCAATGAAAACTGTCAACTTCAAGGTATGGAGTATACACATATAGAAAGTTTAATTCCTTTGAAGGAAGAGTGGGATATGAAATCTGACGAGAAGAAAACCTCTGAAGCTTATAGACTAGCTTGTGAAGAAAGCAAAGAAATTATGGAGGTAAGTGGAAATTTTAACATAAAAATAAAAAACAAACATTTTTTTATAGGTTAAAATCTTAACTTTAATTTTTTCAGCAAGTGGTATTAAAAAATAGACATCTTAAGGAAATCATTGATCACCTAAGACGCATTATTTCAGAAATAAATACAATGTTAAATATGCGTCGATCATGAGCAATTAAATGTATATAAATATTTATTTATATAATTTATTAAAAAACTGTGTTAAAGAATAAAAATATTATTTCCTATGTAATATCACAATATCAATATTACTTACCTGCATTTTGCGAATTTATTGTGCTACATTAGTGTCATTCACATTCAGATAAATAATGTCACTTGCTCTTAGAACTGCTTCTGGAATTTTGCCTAATGGTGTTTCCAAATTTCGTACGTATACTTCCAAGCACTCTACATCACAACCTCTAAATTCAGCAGAAACGCGCGTATTTTCATGTAAATGAAATTCTGCTTGCTTGCCTGTAACAAATAAAGGTTCATAATTACAGAATGTAACCCCTCACATAACTGTTAGTTTAAAAATGAAATTCATAATATAGCGTCTTAGTATTACACAATTTTGAATTATTTTGTTTACATCATTTTTATTAGTCATATTCAAATTTAAAATAATTTGTTTCGTTAATATTTGCGCATTAGAATAAACATTTTTGATACTGGCGCCAGATTTGACTAATTCAGTACTAAGCTACATTAATTTTCTACAAAATTATTATCGTAATGTAAAAATTTATACACAATCATGCGTATTTATGGCATTTGGTCTGAAAAAAGGAAAATAAGTTTGTTAAAAGTAAAATTTCGTACCAACAATTCCAGTAATTACACGCAGAAATCGTTCGCGCAAAAATGCACGTGTTTCTTGCTTTTCAGGTGTGGCAAATTCTAAATTAGTGCTATTTTCGTTCGATTGTACGTCGTCTACGACTGTACCCATCATGTTTTCAAAATATTTATGGACTCCTAAAAACAAAGATTTTTGCCATGGCGGAACTAAGCAATACTGCATGTATAGTGTCGCTACCAAGCCCGCTAAATTTGAAAATTAAAATCATGCAACATACCATTACACTAAGTAAAGTAATGCTTGTACTCACCGAATGCTTTCATATAAATAATTAAAATTTTCGTAATTATCAGTAACTATAATTAAAGATGTTAAAAAATGTAGCATGTTAAATAGAAATAATAAAAACCCACATATTCTAATGAGGAAACTTAGTTTGGTGAAATTAACATATTTTCAACCATATCTAAGAAACACACTTTCACAAGGAAAAAGATGAGGGCAACCCGTAGGTTTTGAATTTTGTCAAATAGCTTCCCGAGTTTCTCTTTATTAGTTTTCAAACCACCGTGCGGCAACAATGAATTTCCTCTTCCTTTTGCTTTTAATTATCGGTTTTAACTGCTGTAGTAAGTATTTACGTTGAACGTTCGTAAAAGTTGATTATATTCTAAATTTTCTTAACAAAATGGTGTGGTCAATTATTGTTATGTGATTATTGTGTTGTAACGTTACAGAAGCCACAGAAAATCTGAAAGTTGTCTCCAGATCATTAGGAAGAACTGGTGCGAACAATGAAGAAAACCAAACACCGAAGAAGCAGATTCCTTCGACAGATTTATATTCAAAACGTGATCTGTTTAAAATGGAAAGAACTGAGAATATAAACGTGGACTCTTCAAACAGGAAATCTAAAATCTTAAGAAGTTTGGCTTTTCTAGCTGGTTTAAATGTCGGTGATTTGGTTGGTGCAGCATCGTCGGATGTAAAAACTACATTTCCACCATTCACTTTAACCGTCGGTGCTTCCAAAATTTCACCTCATATTGCTGCGACTTATGATCCTTACCCTTATGTGTCGCAACCTTACATATTCGTTACTCCCCCGAGACTTCACACGTTATGGAATTTGCTGACACAAAATTCCCAAGTATTAAATCTGTTAGATAACAACAAACAGTCTGACTTGTTAAACAAAGACGACGAGTACGTAGATGAAGCAAAGAAAATTGAAAATGTGAAAACTGTGAGTAGTACCAAAGAAGAGGCAGACAAGAGTGTAGAATTACAAAGAGAAGACGATTGGAACGTAACAGATAAGGTAAAAATTTGCTGGAAAGTATCGTGAAAAAGTAGAAATTAGAGCAAAAAATCACCCATTTTATTTTGCATTGCATTTCGAGTAAAGAGATTACATTTACAAGATTATTATTTGCAAAAGCCAATACAACTCCATATTTATAAATTATCAGAAATATGTATTAAAAAGCTTATAAAATTAAGGCTGACTACATTTTTCTAAAGGCGCTAAACGAATAATTTTGTGTAAAATTTAATTTCCACTGCTACAAATATTTCTAATCTTAACTTTTTCTATTTTATTTCATTACGTGTTTTATTAAATTGCTATTTCGCATACGTGTCGCAATTTGAAATTTGTAATATCATAAAAATGAACATTTTTTTTTTAAATGGATAGAAGTTATAATTGATAATCTACAATATTTATATTTCATTGCTGTTTCATTCTTGATTGACAGGTGTTTTCTGGTACTGCATGCAATCTACAGAATGGAAATAACATGAAACGGGGTAACTTGTTGAATGGACAGGGTCTACGAGCTGCAAGTCCAATAGAACAACTTACTTCTGTAAACGCAACTAATCAAAATACAACTCAAATGCCTGGTACGGCCCCAAAAAACGAAACAAATAATTCCTCGTTCTACGGCTACTACGATGGACATCCGCAAGATATAAATTACATCAGTTTCACTACGGAAACATACGATCCTAAATATCACGATTACGAACGCATTAATTATAATCTGCCTTCCTATGAGAGGCCTGTGAATTTTTATTCGGATGAAAGTCACGACTATCACCTCGTTCCACCAGACGATCGTTATCCGTCAAATCAATTTCATCACGAGCAAATTCCCGAATATCTGGCTAACGATTTTAAGAAATTTGTATACTCACCGGATAATACACCATTTACCAACAGTGATTTCAGACCTCTAGTATAGAACCGTTATAAGGTAGTAATTGTGTAATCATGTAAAATATGTTCACTGTAAGAATAATAAAGAAAATATTTTACTGGCAAACTGATACTCTTCGAACATTTAATTGATCATGCGCAAATACAGTGTTGAGTTACTTTTTCGAGTTGAATAACAAATGATCGTTACCGATCGGTAAGTTAATTTACATGTACAGTTGCTCTTATTAGCATTCGGGCACTCTTTGGAACAGTATAACTTTTCTAAAATTGTACCAAACGACTTGAGTTTTTTTGAGAAGTTAGGAGGGTTAGTTTACTAAATGACCTGTAAAGAAAATTTATTATTAATTAATTATAATCTGCCCTCCTATGAGAGGCCTGTGAATTTTTATTCGGATGAAAGTCACGACTATCACCTCGTTCCACCAGACGATCGTTATCCGTCAAATCAATTTCATCACGAGCAAATTCCCGAATATCTGTCTAACGATTTTAAGAAATTTGTATACTCACCGGATAATACACCATTTACCAACAGTGATTTCAGACCTCTAGTATAGAACCGTTATAAGGTAGTAATTGTGTAATCATGTAAAATATGTTCACTGTAAGAATAATAAAGAAAATATTTTACTGGCAAACTGATACTCTTCGAACATTTAATTGATCATGCGCAAATACAGTGTTGAGTTACTTTTTCGAGTTGAATAACAAATGATCGTTACCGATCGGTAAGTTAATTTACATGTACAGTTGCTCTTATTAGCATTCGGGCACTCTTTGGAACAGTACAACTTTTCTAAAATTGTACCAAACGACTTGAGTTTTTTTGAGAAGTTAGAAGGATTAGTTTACTAAGTGGCGCGTACAAAAAATTTTGAAAAAATTGCAATTTACGAGAATCGCGAAGAAAATTGTAAAGGTCCCTGTTTGCAACTTTTTCTATTTGAGCTTTCGATGAATTTTTCAAACGTACGTTTTTTAGATTTATGTCAATTATATATATGCTGAAAATTGCAACGAAATCGGTTAATGCAGAAACGAACGGTAAGCATCGAAAGATGGAAGAATCTAGATTTATTACAGTAATAGGCTGGAAGGCCTGAAAAATTATAAATTAATATAATTGACATAAACCTACAAAACGTATTTCTTAAATTTTTCTTTAAGAGTTCAAATAAAAAAGTTGTTAAACATGACCTTTACAATTCTCTTCGCGATTCCAACAAATTGTAATTTTTTCAAAATTTTCTTTACAGGCCATTTAGTAAACTAACCCTCCTAACTTTTCAAAAAAAAAAAAATCAAGTCGTTCGGTCCAGTTTCAAAGAAAGTTACACTGTTCCAAAGAGTGCTCGAATATTAATAAGAGTAACTGTATACATATAACTTGTTTCTTGTAGTATTCTAATTGTACGTAAATAATTACGTTCTTCGTGCGTTATACTAATAACGTTATTGACTATGTGCTATGCTCAACAGAACAGAAATAATTGTGGGTTGCTTCATCGGATTGTTGACAGAGTTCTAACAGTGAACACGTTTCCAAGTAGTTTGAAGAATAAATTTTCGAGTGCTGTTAATATGTATTGTGAAAGAACGAAAGTGGTTCTTCTGCTATTTTCTAATTTAGTATTTATGTTTGACTGTTGTGCATCACTGGGTGAGTATACAGTACTTTTTACGTAGTATTTGCACCGAATCAAGGTACCTATAAATTTAATAAATAAAACTGGCTGTAAGGTTTTTAATTAACGGAAGTAATTATACATACTTAATTAAAATCTTGAAACTATAATACTTTCTAGAGAAATCATTCGTATTTTGTAAAATTATTTCTAGACATCTAAATAAATAAATAAGTAGTCATCTTCTTTTAGAGTACAATGTTATTTTGAACGAACGTCACACACATTGAAAGTAAATTATTCGTTATTATCATTGTCCATAATTTTATTAATGTTAACAACAACGGTGTATTATAATGTGAGGAACTTTCATGTTTCTCCTCTCATTTAGTAGAATTATCATTTCACATTAACGATCGTTATTCCTTCAGAAACAGATCTGCCGTTAAATGGTATCGACGTCAAGGACTTATCGCGGACAGTTAACGATACCTTTATGATTCTAAATGAACGGAAAATCAATCATAAACATGAAAATTTATTTCCTGGGAAAGAACGTAAAATACACAAAGGTACGCGCAAGGGAACTAACTATTTATCTGTCGATTAAAAATCGCAGACACTATAAAAATACAATTGTGATTTCAGAGATTAGCAAATTAAATTCACGTTCGTACCGCGACAACGCGGGTCATTACGGAACAATTTCTACATTTTTGAATTCAATGCTTGATTTATTAAACAAAGAAGAAACATCGTCTCGAGAATTGTTTAACAAGCGCCTGGAGAAGAGAAGTGCGAACAACGGGAATACGGATACGAAAAGGGACATACCAAGAGGAAAACAAAAAAAGATAAAAGCATTGAGACGTTTGCTCTTAAACGGTATTTCGAACCAAAATAACGAAGATATTCAAGATGACTACGGCGAGGATGAGGACGACGATTATTCCAAGGGCGTGAACAAGAAGAAAATGAATTGGGATGATTTTCAAAATGAAGACGGGGCAAGTGTAATGGAATTAATTGCTCTTAACGTAAGGCACAAGAGTAACGCGAGTTCTGCACGTAGTATCGGATATTTTTACCGATAATGATGAAGCTATTATGTAAAAGTATGTTAATTACAGACCGTGTTATTTTTGTCCATCAATGAATTCCACTTTTCAATAATTGCACTTGTACTGTAACAGTTGTACATAGTATTCATTTGTACAGTTTAGCTTATTGTTAGAAAATATTCAATTCTTTTAATAGCTTAATTACACCATCAGAAATTATGTGGTACGTTCGAAACGGAACAAAGCTACGTTTATAAAACCTTTTGAACATTTTCGTATCATTAATCAATAGGATCTCGTTCAATGTCGTTTGCTTAGGAATTAACTAAATAGTTAAAGAAGAGTTGGAGGACTTTATATTTAAGGTTACTCACTTGGTAGGTCGCAGATTTTTCAATATCTTTTGTTTTATCGCAACGAGGATCTAGAAATTGTCTTTTAATTTTCAACAAAATGAGGAAAATCGGAAAAATTGTTATCTCCATAGGTTATTTTCGATTTTGCATAAATTTCAGACGCATTTACACTAAATCCGAGATAAAAAATGGTAGCCTACCGCTCCTTAAGCAGCGTACCTAACCTAACTTAAATATGATCATAAAAGTTTGAAATTATAATCTATTTTCTTAGCCAGAGTTAACAGTCTGAATTATAAGACAAGCAGTTTCACTACTTTTGAAACTAACCAAGTACTCGTTCAATTTTTAGAGGCTCTAAATTAGTATGGAAATATTCGATATTTATAAATAAAATTTATGAGGTATACGTATTTCCTGAACTTTCAGTTTCTACTAATTTGAACACTTTGCACTCGGACATTTCTGCGAGACAGTCGACTAGAAACTCCAATTTATTTCTGTCTTATGTACATATAAATAGTATTGCGAAAATGATTTTAAAACAAGCTTTATACACTTGAATTATTACTGTAAATTCATCAACAATATTTAATAGACCAATTATAACCTTTTAACGTGTAGTATTTTTTTAAGTACTCGTTGGAGTGCAAATCGATTAGCAATCGCAAATTCTACGATGCTAATTGTTGCATTTTCGTTATAATTATAAATGGATTCCAAAACTTTGGAGAAAAATAAAAGTTACCGAAAAAATGTTTCCAGAACACTATTGAACCATTTTGTCTCCGAATTGTGAACTGACTAATCTGATATAAGTGTGTATCCTGCAATGTATAAATAAACATTATTAACAAAACATTTCTTTAAAGCAAAGCGTTCGAAGTGGTCAACACTTGCATTCTGCTCTCATACACTCTTGACAATACAGTTCATAAATTTAAACGTATATGAGCTTTACAATTAACTACAAATACTCGCAGAGTGCACAGTTGCTTCGGCTGTTTTTACCATCTGTGGTAAAAAAATAGAAAGCGTCGAATCTTGCAGGTTATCTTCTGACGCAACATTTGATGGTAACGAAATATAAATTGTAATTCTCTGTAATTATCAATTAATCAGGAAACTCTTCTGTGAGAGTCGACCAATCGGGCAGCGTAGCTCGCAGGGAAGAAACCTGTTTTATTTTCGGACGAGTTTGGAGGGCTGGGCTTCTCGTCTATTTCGAGAAGGCTGGTATTGTGTCTCTAAAGACGCGAATACTTTGCAGCTCTTTCGAATGGTTTTTCACAAAGACAATTTGTCTGTCATTTCACCTTTGTTGTTCCTTCGATTGAATTGTTAATCTACTTTGTTGTTCTCTTTAAATCCATCAAAGAGAGCACAGAATTTGCAACAACCAAGAAACATTTTCAAAAATTACCGACGATTCTATTCAACTGACAAACAAACTTTCCTTTCTGCATGATATATCTAGATGTCATTAGTAAAATCTTCTAAAATATATCTATCTATTTGTGTCTGTGTGTCTGTGTGTGTGTAGATAGATAGGTATATATTTCAGAACATTTCACCAGTGATATGTACGAAAATTTCGAAAAATAAATTGCCAAACGTGGAAGCTAGTGAATTAATTTGACCAAATAATTTTGCACCAAGTTAATCACAAATATCTATTACTGTAGCGTGTATTCGAAATGTGCGAAAACTACGGATACGCAGTTATACCGAACCTCGATGTATGTACGTACAAAGGTGGACTCGATACCGGCGCAGTATTGCGTGTACGATTATGCAATAAGCAAATAGGAAACGATCGACTTCCTTCACGAAAACATGAACTCTTTTTTGAGGGGAGATGTCGATATTATCGCGTTGTTTTTTCTAGAAACGGCTTATCTATTGTACATGTCTGCAAGCAGTGGAGAGGTGTTAGTATACACTTCAGATTAATATTAGTTAAACTGAAATTATATTATATTATATAATTCGTTCTTGATTTATGTAACGTGAAATCGACGATTTCTGCTATAACATTTTTCGATTCTTCTCTACTGGATACCGCGATCGATTTTATACTTTTTCATAATACAAACTTGTAATATTTTAAGCTATCGTATTTCACCATACAGCATCCGATAGGTTGTCACGAAGGTATCTATGCAATCGGATTAGAGCGTGTCTCTTTAAGTCTAAATATATACCGGGTGTCAGGGTTGAACGCCCTGGGATTTCCGGTCTCCATCGTGCGTACTTTGGTTTTCCGTTTTTTTTTTTTGTTACTTTCAGTACCAGCACTTACGCCCTCTTCATCTCCTGTCACTGTTCCTCCGGCCTCCGCCTTTTTCTGTATCACTCACGCTTTTTTCCACGCGAAACCCAATAGCCTTGCATCCTCTAGGACACTCCAGGACTATTTCCTGCGTCGGACGAACCGGATGGGAAACCGCAAATGTAAAACCCCGTAAAGAGTTTTAGTAAAACGTCTGCAAAAAGGAAGTTCAGATTAATTGAGATTAATATTGCGGTGTACGTATATCAAATTTCGGTGGAAATTCGACAAAACTGAAAAATCAATCGGGACAACGTCGGAGCCTTGAAAATGTCACAAAGACGTGAAATAAGCATTTTCACGAAACCCTTATACGGTATTCTAACGTTATTCTTTGGTGAATATTTTACATCTTATCTTATCGTGTATTTTACATCTTATTGAATATTTATGTACATTTGTAGCAAAGTTTCCTCCTCCACAGGGTGTTCTGCTTTGCAACTACTCGCGCAAACGTGCGCATTTAGAGAAACTTTCTCTGTCTCTTTGTTAAAGCTTTCGCCAGCACGTAAAACCGTCGGTCCCATTTTTAATTGCATTCTAACATTCGTCGTGTCTGTAAAAATTCTTCGTCGAGTTTCAAGGGGAAAAATATAGCAAACGATGGAGCGCAAAGCGTAAAGTGCTACGCGTATTTGAAAATTGGCCAAAAAGACATCTCGTTGGTAAAGAATGAAGGTGTCGGGTTCACCCTTTTGAGGCGCACGTCTCGACGTTCCTTAAGGGTGCGCCTCATCGAGTATGCAACGACGTAACGGCGTACCTATGAGATACGCTTTGGACACACGCGTTTTGAACTTGGTGCACGTGCACACAGAGGCAGAACAGCTCGTTCTGTGTGGTAAATGCACTACGCTCGGGTAAGAACCCCGGCTTCGTATATGGGGGGACGACAGAGGAGAGAGACAGCTGTGAGGCAGCTGGCAGCGCGTGCCACGAACCTATGGGGTCTCCTTCAAACGCAGACTTCGATGATATCCTATACTTCGTGACACGTAACTAACGGCAGGTTTCGAACAATGTAACGAACAGAGGTTGCCGATCGTTCAGGATTGAACGAAAAGTTTAACCAAATTACCTTCACCGCGGTTGTCCACAAATTCATTTAACGATACCACTTTTAGTTGCTTCTT